TAGTTGTTTACATTACATTAGGTTAAACATATTTTTGTTGTAATCTTAAACCACTGAAAAGAACAGCAACACTTTTGAATGGAAAGGACAACAAGCAAACATACAAAAGACAATAAACATAATTTTATAATTTTAAATTTTATTTTTAATCTCAAGTTTGCCTCTTAAAAAACTCGCTAAACTTTGAAATAACCAACAACTACAAATATATTTATTTATTTTCAGACAGGAGTGTCAGCAATATCAAGCTCAATACTTACTCGGCATTAAAAGAATCGCCGATACTGAAGCCAGCACTGAAAACTTATATGACCAAAACGATATCGGTTATTGCAATACTTCAATATTAACAACCCTGATAACATACACACATATGCACACACACAGACACACACTCATACATACACACATACTTTTAGGCAAAATATAAGCAAATCTTTTACACTTATATGTTTACAAATATTCTTTGAAAATAAATTTATCTGCTTGAGTTTTACAAAATTGTTTAAACTGAACCACCTGTAAAAGTACACTAGTTTAAAATTTAAAATGCAAACAGAAAGAGCAAAAAATATGTAAAAAAAATAAAAAAACGGGAAAATGAACGGACGAACGAACGAATGAATGAAAGAAGAAAAAGAACGAAAGAGTGAATGAAATATGATAATCTTAAGAAAGATGTTTTGAATATCAATGGGTCTCTTATGCCTAGGTAGAGTCTCTGCGTATACCAGCTAATGTTTGTGTAAATGTATGCCTTCTTCAATGTATATTTACACGTATTTTTGAAATACATACATAATACATGACGAACCCATTACAGAATGTATTTATGTGACGTAACAGCGTAGGCTTTAATTACAACTTACATTAAATGTGCCAGAGGTATTGCGTATTTCAGAATGTATAACCATTTTGTATGTGTGTGTGTGTGTGTGTGTGTGTGTGTGTGTGTGTGGGGTGTGTGTGTGAAGTTTTTTTATATGAACGTGTGGATGGATGGTGATCATCATCATGGCAATCTCATTTTTTTGACTTTTCTAACTTTTTATTTTAAATCTTAGATATTCTGGCTTGTTGAAGTACTCGCCACGTCACCAACATTTCTGTCGTCGTCATCATCATCTACATCATCTTCATTATTCTCAATATCATATACGTCACCGTTATAACTATCATCCTCATCAGCAGCACTATCATCACCATCATCGTCATCAGCATCATCATAATCATCATCAACAACATCACCATCACCGTCGTCGTCACCACACGCGCCACCATCTTGCAAACCTGCACCATGCCCTAAATTGATGACAATATACAATCTGCCTGCTTGTAAGGATTAGGTTCATCTACTGAAATTTAAGAGCTTGAACGACAATTTATTTTTCTCTCCAACGTTTAACTCTTGTTTGTCATTTACTATTTTTGTAATTAATATTTTATTATTTTTTGTAATAAATTTAATTATTTTCTGATTCAAATTGTAGATGCATTAAAGGTTCAATCAAATGTTTACTAAATTATATTTATTAAAATTCATAAACTTTAAGTTTCTTAACTAAAAACTCACTACTGATGTTTCATTTTCATTAGTACATGTGCAATGTACATGACTGACAACCACTGCAGTACTTTTCCATTGTGTGTGTGTGTGTGTGTGCAACCTTTCCAGACACGTTCTCCATGTTACTAGCAGTGTTACTCGCTCTATGAAATGTACGATGAACAAATAAATGTCTGCGTAGGTTTCGATTGGATTTGATTTTGTTGTTATGGCGTATGAAAACGAGTTGGAATGATCGCGGTAAAATTTTTATTAACTGATCTTCTTTCAAAGAAAAATTAGTTTAGCATATAAACAATTGCAAATGTAGACCTCAAGTATTAAAATAATTTCATTCGAAGAATGTTTGCAATGTAGAAACAAACAAAAAATCCCGATACTAATACATACTGGGATATCCGCAACAGTAAAAATTTATACAATGTGTGAGTGTGTCTGTTTGTGTGTGTTTGCGTGTGTGTTGTGTATGTACGCGCGCACGTGTGAGTGTGTGCATGTAATTTTTATCAATAAACAAACAAACGCATACATTCTCTTAGAGTTCTCTTTAAAATATTTCTCAAAGGTATCAACAACACACACAGGACGTCTGTAAATAAGTGAGAGAGGGAGAAAAAGCCCACATCCCACACACACATATTGCATGTGAAAGATGGGGATCTCTTTGCTTTCGAGCGCAGTCACGGCACCATAAGTGCCGAGCACTATAAGCATCAAACCATCGCGTCATCTATACACGCCACTAACACACACTCACACATGAAAAATTTAGTTATATACAATAAAACGCAAAAAGCCCAAGAAGGAAAAGCCCAAGATCAATAACATCATCATATAAACACTCTGATGTGCAAAATTTTGGTAAAAATATATAAACACACACACACGCACGCACACACACACACGCACGCACACACAACTCCACACGCCCATATCTAAGCATGAATTTCTGCGAGATTTTTTAACCTGAAAAATGATTGATAGGAATACACTCATATTAAGTAGCCACCCAGCACCACCGCCACTACTACCGCTACCACAACTACTACAACATATATTCATGTAGCTATTAATAATACAAGTATTACATTTATAACAACTACTTCTGCTGCTAGTAGTGCTCCTACTACCATCATGCCATCATATTACTACTACTACTACTACTAATACTAATACTACTTTTACTACTACAACTGCTACTGCTACTGCTGCTGCTGCTCCTGCTGCTACTACTACTACTGTTACTATTACTGCAATGCAATTTATTTTCTTTCTATTTATATTCATGTAAGACGTCTTGTGTACACACTTACATTTCTTATTGGATACAATATCATAAAATTAGATATCTTTCTATGCATAGATATACACATGTGATGTATGCATAAATCATAGATCTATATAAACTGTCAAATATTACAACAACATACTATAAACGTTTTATAACCACGTAAGATTATGTTAGTTGTGATACTGAATTTTGAAAAATTCCACTTTTAGCATTGATAGGAGGCGGTGATGATAGGACATTGACGATATTCACCCAAGTATCACATTCTGCAGATACTTGCCTATGTATCATCACTCTTTAATACATTTGCACTTGAGTTTCTAAGCTCATTATAACTGGCCGAGACTTTAGACTGCTTTTTATTATTGGAAAAAAAATTTCATTTCTACAATCATAATTTTCATGTCAAGTTATTTTTTTTTCATTTTCATATTTGAACTGAACTACCCCAAAAAACTGTAAAAAGTTTAACTTACTCATTACTACATTTTTGCTATTTGAATCACTCAAATAATGAAATCTAAAAGCATCCAGTTTTCAACGTTAACACTACTACAGTACCTCCTAGTACAGTACTGCTTGCATTTCTACACCGATTGATATAAACTAACCTGGCGACAAAAATATAGCACTATTTATAGCACAGTTTATTTATAGTTATAATAAGTAATTCAATTATTATTATTGTTTTTATTGAATTGTTATTTAAATAGCGCACTCTAATTAGCATCATATACCTCTGGAGGCATGTTGCGATATTTTTTATGATTTTATTTAGTGTGACACTAGACTAATCCATTTTCTTTTCCAAAAAACGTTGGAAATTTTTTTATTTTGGTGTGAATACCATGAGTCTATTTTCTGGTTTCATGTTTTCTAGTTTTTGAAAACATTTCATATATATGTAATGAGGTTAGATTACATTTCGGAATATAACTAACAATTTTATAATTTAAAAAAAAATTGAATAAAAAAATTAAAGAAATCGAAAATTTAACTGTTCTTCGATTTAAAACTAATTAGACATGGGGCCGTTCGAATATTACGTAACGCTCCCGGGGGGGGGGGAGGGGGGATCTAAGATTTTGTTACGGAGTGTTACGGGGGGAGGGGGGGTTCAAAAATTGTTACGTAACACAGAAAAAAATGTTGTTTTTTATATTTTTCATTATTAATAAATTTAATTTTTCATTCTAAAACACAAATGTTAGTGTAGTTTTTATAGAATCTATGTTAATAAATGGTTAATGATCATATTTCTTTAAAATTGTCGTTTTCATCCATGAAACTTAGCAGTTATGAACATTCTGATAAAAAAACACGACGAATACAATGCATTTTCGTGACCGCGTGGTACATACGGAAAAAAATCAAAAAAAATTTCTGCTTCTACTCTAAATTAAAAAATATTTTTACATAATGTTAACAAATGGTTAATTATCATATTTCTTTAAAATTGTCATTTTTACTCATGTTTTACTAAGTTTTTAAAAAAATATAAAATACACCACTCGTAGCGAATTGCCTGTTGCAAATGTGACACACAACAACATAGAAAAAATATTTTTATAATAATACACATTTCTTTTATCGCTTATAACAACCGAAAATTATATAGATAGGCGTATTTTCGAAAAATAAACAAAATAACAACGACGAAAACGCGAATTTGCGATAGTAATGTTAAATCACTTTCAGGAAAACGCGGTGAAGTTGAGCGCGCGCGCTATCGCATTTTTTAACGTTGTGCGACCTGCTATTATAGATTAAATAATGTTGGATTATATAAAAGTTAGTTTAATTAATATATGGATGAATAAATGATGATTGAATGAAAGAATATAGGAAGAAAAATTTTTCTTGTGACAAGCTAAAAATCAAATTTGATCCAACGAGAGAAGAGTTATAAAAGGTTTAAAAAGTTAACTTTAGATTGCATAGTGTATTTTAACGGTGACCGAAATTTTCAAGTTTGTGTTTCTTTTGCTGACATTTCTTTAAATTTTTAAAGTTCAAGTCGTATTTCTAGATTTAGAGTGAGTACAATTTCTTTAATTATGTTTTAATTATCTAAAATTGTTATTTTGGAAATTTTATTCTACATGATAATTTTAATTTTACCTTTTAACTGACCATTTTAGCATGGATAAAGATGGCATGTTTAAAAAGTTATTTAACGCATTTATAGAAGCTAATTCAAGCGGTCAAAAACAAAAAATTCAGCATGATTGTGTTAGTTTCTGGAATTCAATCAAGACTGCACCTGATTTTGTCCGCTTGTACAACGCAAAGAAAGCTGAACTAGAGGGTACTACTAGGAAGCGATTAATTTCGTCTTTTTTCTTGTCAAAAAACGAGAACATTCCTTCCAATTTAAAGTCAAATGACATCTCTTGTGGAATAATAAATTCTTGTTCTTCAACTTTTTCTGCCGTTCCATCAACTGCAAGCTGTTCAAAGTTAACTGTTTCGAATGACAAATGTCCAGCTCAGAAGCAACTCACGGAAGAACTGAATATTATTAACGCAGATCTAGTAGGCTTAATGGCACGCGACAATATGCGCATACTCACAGCTAAGCAGAAAGAAGAAATGGACACTAAGAAGGCGCGTAAACGACAAATTGAAAAGGATATAATTAAAAAAAAGCTAATCAAGAGCGTCAGAAGAAATTTCGTATTGACAAGAAAGAAATACTGCAAAAAGTTATTGAAGAAAATCCTGAACTTGCTAAGAAATTAAAAACTAAAGAAAGTCCTGGGCGTCCGTCAATAGTGAGTGAACAGCCCGATTTGCTTAAATCGATATTAGACATTGCTGAATTTGGCTGCTCGGCTGACGAACGAAGACGAATGGAAACTTTGAGATGCGTTAAAACTTTAGATGAACTACATAAGGAACTATTGAATATGGGGTTCAAAATATCATCTCCTTCCAAAAAATTATAATACAATTGATGGCAGAAGACATGTCAGCACAGTTCCAGTGAAATTGATTCGTGCTACAAATGATCTCCATCGACAGCATCGAGATACTAAATTTGCTACTGATACCGTTCATCATCTTTGCGAGCTTGCTTCATTTTTTGGTCCGGCAAATACGACAGTCATTAGTCAAGATGACAAATGTCGAGTACCTATTGGCATCACAGCAGCCAAAATGCAAGCACCTATGCTTATGCATATGGAATATCGTGTAAGACTTCCAGATCACGATTGGGTTATCGGCGATCGGCATAAGTTAATACCATCTGTATACGCCGGCCTTGTAATATCTGAAAACGGTTATGGTGCAAAAGAAGCTGTAACATACTCTGGTCCAACTTTAATCTCAATTCGATCAGGAAAACATTCTTCTTCAAATGCAATGAGTCATGCAAGAGACTTCGAAAGATTGATGAAACTTCCTGAATTTGATACTATAACGAAAACAATGGATCAAAATGCAAAGCCAATATTCATCTTTTTTGTTGATGGAGGACCAGATAAGAATCCTAGATATCCACACACTATTCAATCCGCCATCAGACAGTTTAAAAAGTACAATTTAGATGCAATATTTATTGCTACAAATGCGCCAGGTCGCAGCGCATTTAATCAGGTTGAACGTCGAATGGCACCTTTAAGCAGAGAATTAAGTGGGGTAATTTTGCCGCATGATTTCTACGGAAGCCACCTTGATATCAATGGTAAAACAATTGATGAGAAGCTAGAAATTTTAAACTTTGAACATGCAGGTGAAACGTAGCAACCATCTCCGGTAATGTTGTAATTGACAACCATCCAGTCATTGCAGAATACGTTTGCCCAGAAAGATCCGAAATCGATTTAATAGATACAGCATGCATTGATGAAAAATGGAAAATGAATCATATTCGTTCTTCACAATACTTTTTGCAAATTTTGAAGTGCCAGGATCGAACATGCTGTACAGAGCCACGAAGCCCATTTTTCAACTTTTTTCCTCAACGTTTTTTGCCAGCACCTTTGCCGCTAGTATACAGTCCTTCTATTTCAATCGCAAAGTCAACTGAAGACGTAGGTAAATTTATGAGCTTATTTCAAAATGAAGCATTTGCTAACCGTACACTCCCTTATGATTTTCACTGCCCATCCGTAAGTAGTACAGTCCCAACGAGAGTTTGTATAGATTGTGGATTGTATTGTGCTTCACTGGAAATGTTGAAATCTCACCGAAAGTCAATCCACAATCGTATTGTCAATACCAAGAAGAAGCCGAAGAAAATCATAAAAAAGCGGAATGAAGAGTTGTTGGTACAGTTGGATGATGATGTTGAATGGATGAATAGGGAAAATGTTGAATGTATTGAAGAAACAGAAGAAGATGAGAATCCTGTAATTAATGAAGTACCAATAATATTTATTCAAACTCATTTGGAAAGTATATGGGAAGAAGATTGTTGATATTTTTTAACAATTTTGATTTTGATTTTTATTTTAGAAACAACGCTATATAAATACATTTGATGTATGATTTATTGAAAATAATAGAAATTTGAAATAATGTTGTTTTTTATTACCGAAAAATTAAAAATATTTTTTGTTACGTAACAGGGGGGGGGGTTAAGTCGTTTGTTACGGAAGTGTTACGAAGGGGGGGGAGGGGGTCAAAAAAGTCGTTTTTTCGTGTTACGTAATACTCGAACGGCCCCCATCAGAATAGAACCAAATGCCACAGTGAAATGAATAATATATAGAAAGTATTATTTTAGTCTACAAATTCATTCAAATCTGGCTTCCTACCACAAAAATCACACTTGATATTAAGGTCTACATTAAAATTTAAAATCTTTAAAAATGTTTGTCAAGTTATATTTAAAAGGAATACAATTTGCAATCCATCTATGTTACACGCATATTATTCTTAACGTTTCTTTTATCATAAATCCCCAATCTCAAAATTTTATTTTGAAATTTGAAATTTTCATTTTTTCTCATTAAAAAAAAGTAAATAAATTACTTCCTGATCAAAATCGACTTATAATAGTGAGATGTGGATTTGCTAGATGATGATGAATAACGAAGGCTGATGATTAGACGATGATGATGCATGCATTTTCTTCAGAGATTTTTTATTTAAAATAATTTTTATTACTGAAATTGTAAAACATTACTCAAAAATCAAAAATAGTAGAGAGAGAGAGAGAGAGAGAGAGAGAGAGAGAGAGAGAGAGAGAGAGAGAGAGAGAGAGAGAGAGTAGTAAAGAGAATGACGATGATTCGTTGAAAGTAAAATTGTTTGCATTTATAGTCTCATATGCATGCTGTTAACCAATCACATTTAATGGATTTTAAACTAGTGGTGATGATATTAAAGACAAAGATGATGAAGTTGATGATAATGACGATGGTAGTGTTGCAGATTGCAATTTTCATTTTTTAGTCACTCTCTACCCATAACTTCCAACTATAACGCACAGAGCTTATGCTAACGCGCAAGCAAGAATTTAAGCATTTTACACATTTTTATAAATATTTTCGTGTTGGGATTTCTATGCGTTTGAACCCGGTAAAGTCAGGGTAGCATTTTTATTTTAACGTTTTGCAATATGAAATGTAATGTGACTATAATAGAGTAATCTCGTGATGACTTGATGCTAACAAATTACCAAAACAATAATTTGGATAATGTTGTCAGACGATGATATTTATAAATACAATAATAATATTGTCTATGATGATGTAGTAGATGTTGTTGGTGATGAGGATGATGCTAGTAACGATGATGATGATATTGTTGCTGCTGCTGATGATGATGATATTGTCGATGATGATGATATTGTCGATGATGATGATATTGTCGATGATGATGATATTGATGCTGCTGATGATGACGACGACGACGAAGATGATGTTGATGATGAAAATATATGGCCTGTTGGTGGTTTTTTTATTGTCAGTCTGATTGAAATGGCGAGATCGGAAACAATAAAAGGAAACCGATGATGGTGATGGTGATGATGATGATAACGATGATGATGATGATGATGATAACGATGATGACGATAACGATGATGATGATGGTGATGATGTTAATGATGATAACGATTATGATGATGATGATGATAAAGATGATAATGATAACGATGATGATGATGATGGTGATGATGATGATAACGATGATGGTGGTAGTGGTGATGGTGAAGTTGATGGTGACGATGTTGAAAACTGCACTACCTTCATGCCATTGATGAAGATGGGGATGATGTTGGTGTGACGTTAACGGGATTGATGATAATGACAATGAAGATGGTTTTGTTGGTGAAGGTGATGGTGATGATCAAAGGTTTCCTCAAAAGTTATAACAAAGTTAATAATTCTATAATAACACCATGTATAATAACACCATGTGGATGACAGCATGACGAAGAATTGAACAAACAAATGAAATACACTCAACTCAATTTTTACCGATTTAAAAATAAAAAATATAAATAAATTTGAAAAAAAATCGAAGGCTATTCTGATGAAAATAATACTTAGATAGTGACGACGACGATGATGATAATGAGGATGATGATGATAATGATAAGGTTAATGATAATGATCTGCTGAACAGATGGAATGTAGGAAAATTGATGGCATGATTTCTCGCGTTCTGATTTCACTTACCCTTTCCTGTTTGTTTTATACTACCGCTACTATGTTGTTGTTGTTGCTGTTGTTGTTGTTGGTTATTTGGTGTTTGTTGTTTATGTTGCTGTTGTTGGTTATTTGGTATTTGTTCTTTATGCTGTTGTTGGTGTTTAAGTTGTTGATGTTGTTGTCTATGTTTTAATAATGTTGTTGTTTACTGGTGTTGTTGTTTTTTATTTACATTGTTGCTGCTAATTGTGTTGCTGCTGAAATGTTATCAATGATCTGGTTGACGTTTTTCAATTTTTTATGTTGTTACTTGTAACAAATTTGCCAGACTTGAACATTATAAATTTGTATCTAATAGAAAAATTTTTGTAAACTTTAGTTAAAAAAATGGTTTATACTTCTGAAAAAATTTCAATTAAACTTTAGCGACAGAAAGAAAATGTAATTATTTAAATCAAATGCAAAATAATAGTTTAAAAAAATTCATTTTAATGTGAAAAATATCAAAATTCGTCATTTTTGAAATAATTTTCACAATAAAAAACTTCCATAAAACTATTTAACCATTTTTCTTATTAACTCCCTAATTAAATTTTTTGTTTGCTCTGACAAAGAAGACAAATAGCGATGACAGTAGAACAATATTTCTGTTTCGATGAATACACAAAAAAAACGAACAACGATGAAACAGTTTAAGAGAACGCATGAATGAACAGACGACAAACACGAGCATTGTTTTGGTGTCCATGGTGATGAAATTTCTTTCTCGTTATAATTAAAGTTATGTTTAAGTTATAAAATTATTATTGAGGTTTTGCAAAAGAAATTGCTGAAAAAATAGTTTTCAAGCAAAATAATCTTCGTAATATTGAAACAATCAACAAAAAGCGAATATTTTCTTGCAGGCATAGGTATTGTTGTAACGTTTGACGTTTCGTTGCTACCAATACCATTGTTTTAACTTCAACTACATTTCCAACACCAGTGTTGTAGCTTCCAGTGATCTCAAGTTATTATTATTCCGAAGGTTCAAGATTTCCCATAGATGAACACAACTGCTTCAAACGCAAACTTTTTATTAAACTGGTTACTGTGTGGTTGTTAAAAATAATTTAATTTAAAATAAAAATGACCACAAAGCAAAACTTCGCTGATATGGTAAAAATAAAACATACGTACGCACGCATACGCAGACTTATCCGTAAAATTTCCTTATATATTAACACACCTGGGCGTGTACACATGCACACGCACGCACGCACGCACGCACGCACAAGACCAAACATCAAGTAATATTCATGAATTCTTAATAAGATGCGTGGGTAGCCATATATGTCGGTATGTAGGTTGGTATGAACATTTCCTTGCCTTATTCGTCATGAAAAATATGCATAGACAGATACATACATACATATGTGTGTGTATATATAAGTATTTATAAACAAACAAACATGGAAACATGCATACAAACAACTTTGTATTTTTCATAGGTTTCCTCATCATCAACTAAGTAATTGCCACCAAGATACAACTTATAATAATAATAATAATATAAACATTTATAAAGCGCCATAATAAAATAATAATATAAATATATATAATAATAATAATATAAACATTTATATTACTTTTGAATCAGATGACGTTTAATAGACTAACTTTGACCATGTTGACTTGGATGATGATTTTTATTCAGTGGATACATTGAAACAAAGTATATAATCGAACTTATTATGTTTGATCAATAAAAAAAGGACCTTGTGCAATTTGAACGTGGTTATCGGTCAAGTGTTTGATAAAATATTCACACCCTCTAAACCAATTCCAGAGTGCTTAATCTAATGTTTTTAAAAGTTTCGACCACTTGGATTCATAAAAGTGTAAAACTATGGACGTAAAATATAATATATACATCTATATACATATAAAATGGAGTATTTTGCCGTGTATGTGTGTTTCTGTGTGTGTTTGTGTGTGTGTGTACCTGTTCAGCAGATATATTGATGTTTGCTATTACAGAAGTACAAAATGGAAATGACATTTAAATTTTTTAAGTGGGAGAGAAGTTGCAAATGATAAAGCAGACCGCTGCTGTACGAACTCCAAATACGGTCAAGTGATGTATGTGTGTGTGTGTGTGTGTGTGTGTGTGTGTGTGTGTGTGGTGTGTTGATGTTTGTTTTTATGTTTGTGTATGTATGATGTTTGTTTGTATGTTTGTGTATGTATGGTGATCTTGTGCTTCCTAGATTTAATTTGTTTCATTTTAGAAAGAGAAAATTTTCTATTTTATCTGCGAAAATCTGGAACTCACAAACTGTAGATTTGAAAAAATTCAACAACGTGAGGAACATTTGTTCTGACATTCTCAAATGAAGCTGGCGCTTCGCCCCAAATTATTCCATACAGATACAAATACAGCAGGGTGTGCGTATTTATGAGTTTGTTTTGTATGTATGAGATTTGTCATTTTGATTTGTGTTTGTGAATATCAAAATAATTTTATATAGGATTTCTTTTCTTTTTTAAAGTTGAAACGATTGAAAAATTCTGACTTTTATTATATGCCAATTTTTACGTTTATATAAGCTTGCACATAATTATCTGTTTTAAAAACAAGTCTAAATTTCAGTGAACTCAGAGTTAATTGACTGATAGAAAGAGATAAAAAAAAGGACGATGAAGATGGCGAATTATAAAGAAAGAAAAAAAGAGAAACAAAAAATAAAAAAAGAAAGAAAAAGAGAGAAACTAAGAAAAGTAAAAAAAAGATAAAAAATGCGGAAGATGAAGAAAAAGCGGTGGAGAAGAAAACATTT